AAAGAATAGTCTAAATAATGGGTTACCAAGGGGGAATCTGCTCCGAAAAAGGCGAAGACAATTCCTTCGGCCGGGAAGGTTATGGCGACTGTCTTTTGGGATTCGCAAGGAATAATCTTCATCGACTATCTGGAAAAGGGTGAAACCATTACAGGCGAATATTATTCATCGTTATTGGATCGTTTGAAAACCGAGTTGCTAGAGAAACGTCCACGATTGGCCCACAAAAAAGTCCTCTTCCACCACGACAATGCGCCAGCTCACGCCTCAGCAGTTATGGTCGCAAAACTGATGAAGATAGGATTCCAACTCGTTTGACATCCCCTATTCTCCAGACTTGGCTCCGTCGGACTACTATTTGTTCCCTAATATGAAAAAATGGCTGGCGGGGAAAAGATTTTATTCAAACGAGGAGGTGATTGCAGAAACGAATGCCTATTTTTCAGACTTGGACAAATCCTATTATTTGGAAGGGATTAACAAACTAGAGCAGCGTTGGATGAAGCGTATAAGCCTAAAAGGAGACTATGTTGAAAAATAAAAAAGATTTATTAAAAAAAATCAAGCAGTTTTTATTTTTGCACGGACTTTTCAAACGACCCTCGTAGGTATCAAATTTCATTTATCATAGTTTTCCTGGTTACTCTATATACATATAGCAAACTTATTTTTCAATAGTTTTTTCATAAATTAATATATCACAATTCATTGTGGATGACAATAGACCATTAAATTTATTATTTAGTTACTGAATTTTACCCGTATATATATAGACGATATTAATATATTTAAGTATAGTCATTTTGAACCTGAATCATTGAAAAACCGAATAATTCTATCTAGAAAAATTAAATAATCCATTCCTTGATCGGTCTGTTAGCAATGTATAACTAGTGACTCAATGTTCTATATTATGTTATTGTACTTATAATTAGTATAATATATTCCATATTATTTAAATCATAAATTTCTTGTACAAAATTATTATTTAATTTACATTATAACGAGCTGCATTCTCTTATAAATCAAGTTGAAATTGCTCTAAATAAAATTAGTCCATCGTGGGTAATCTCAGATCCAAATTGGCTACCTAACTGCACTGCAAACGATTTTCTTAGTGAACCTTTTCAATTTACAGAATTCAACATCGCTCTCAACTCTAGAGACAATAGTTCATCGCCTGGCCTTGACGGCATTGATTATGATATACTTAAAAAACTACCCATCAACTACAAATTAATCCTTCTCGATATATACAATGAAATGTACAAATCAAGTCAATTTCCACCAGATTGGAAAAATTGTTTTGTTTCTTTTATTAAAAAGCCAGATGTCATATCATTCAGACCAATTACTCTTACTCAATGTGCGAGTAAACTATTTGAAATACTCATTAAGAATCGTTTGCAATGGTGGATAGAACATAACAATCTTTTACCTACGACACAGTCAGGCTTTCGAAAGGGCCACATGTAACGACAATCTTACCCAATTAACCTTAAACATACTAGACGGCTTTAAAAACAACCAACATGTACTAGCCACTTATATAGATATATCCAATGCATACGACAACGTAATTTGTGAAATATTACTACAAATTCTGGCTGACTTAAACATACCTATCGAAATAATCAAAGTTGTAAAATTTCTAAATTACGAAAGATTTGTTTACACAAATATTAATACAACATCATATAGAAATGTACATAAGGGTGTGCCCCAGGGTGGTTCCCTCAGTCCATTATTGTTTAACTTGTATATAGCTAACATAACCAAAAATCTTCCGAAATCTACTACAATATCGATGTATGCCGACGACATCATGTTACTTATAAAGAAAAAAGAATTACAGTCTTGTATATCTCTCATGGAGAAAAGTCTGTCAATAATTAAAAAAAATTTGTATGAAATAGGTCTTGAAATCTCGTCTAATAAAACAGAATTAATCCACTTTAACAGATTGGGATACAATCCAGGTAGCGTTACCTTAAAATTAGACGATTTTTCAATCGTATCAAAAGAATCTGCACGCTATCTCGGCATTACTTTCGACTATCAACTTTCATTTCATCGTCACATAGAAAACGTTAAAAACAAATGTCTGAAAGCATTAAACATTATCAAATTTGTAAGAGGCACTTGGTGGGGTGCTGATCCAAGTACACTTCTTACTGTATACAAATCATACATTAGATCGATTATTGATTTTGCCTCCTTTATATATTTTCCTAAACGCACAAATGACATCCTAAAACTTGAACGCATTCAGTATGCAGCCATTAGGCTCTCCCTCGGTTATCGTATTAGCACCCCCACCAATATCCTCATAGCCGAATCAAAACTTATGTATATCGCCGATAGATCAAAATTTCTATGCCTTTGTTATCTCTCTAAAATTCTCTCTAACAATAAACTTGCAGTAAATAAAATAATACATAAATCTTTTCAAACTTTTAAGAAATCTAAAAATAAAAATCTGTTAATCAACTGTATTAAACAAATTATACCTCTTAAAAAAAACATTCAAATAAATTCTCACTATAACATTTATCTTACTAACTATGAAACTTTTACAAACACTATTGATATAGATACAGAGTTCGGAAAAACTGTTAAAAAATCTCTAAATCCAGATGTAGTATTAAATAACTTTATCACACAAGAGAATTTCAACTCAATTTATACGGATGGAAGTAAAATTACTGATGCAATCTCAGTAGGCACAGCATGTGTAAGCAAAGATTTAAATATCACTATTCAAAATAGTATAAATAACTATGCATCAATCTACACAGCAGAAAGTATAGCTTTACATGATGCACTAGATATTGCTTTACAAAACACAAACAAAAACATTATCATCCTCACTGATTCGTTGAGTATTTTAGAAAAATTAAAAAATCTCAATTTTGAGGTCAAGTCAAACTCATACATTTACGAAATTAAAAAAAAAGCAATAGAATTTTCAAAATCTTCCATTAATAATAGTAAACTCAAACTTATGTGGATACCTTCGCATATCGGAATTAGTGGGAATGAAAACGCTGATGCATTAGCGAAAGAAGCTACCAATAATCCAGCGAATAACAACTTTTGTATCCCATTCACAGATTTCCGCCAAAAATTCAAAACTGACTCAAAAAACGACACTGAAAAATTAGTAAAAGAACGTGGAGAGCTCAAAGGCATAGAATATTTTATATATCTCTATAAAAATAGTAACACACCTTGGTTTCATAACCGTAATCTAAACAGAGCGAACATTGTAATGATTAATCGCAGCAGAGCAAATCACTATAACCTTGCTGCTTCCCTTGCCCGAAAAAACTTCATAGACAACGCTTCGTGTCAATGCAATACAGGTAACCAAGATTTAGACCATGTACTTTGGCTGTGTCCATTATACACTAATCAAAGAAATTTTCTTATCAATAAACTTAAAAAATTCAACATTGTTCAACCATATAATATTAGATCTCTTCTTATAAATTCAAATATCTCTATTTATAAAATACTGTACAAATTCTTCTTAAAATGTAATTTAGAAATCTAAATACTATTCAAATAATGCACATTACTATTGTATAAGATCACTCATGTATTATGTGCATGATCTTAAAAGCTAAATAACTTGTAAAAAGTTAATAAAGCTTCAATAATAAAAAAAAAAAAAAAAAGCTGCATTCTCGTTATGTCTCTCTCTGCCTGCAGCCAGTTTATTTATTAATCATATTTATACCATACCATGTATTATAATAATTTGTAATTTGTAGCGCAGTTGAAATGTCAGCGAACAAGGTAAGAGTCGAGCCCTACGATCTATACTATCGATAGTCCTTAGCGCGGATGTCGCGGAGACCGCGATCGCGAAGGGGAGAGAGAAAGAGAGCGCGTAATGAGTCAGTTGGCATGCGAGCAGAGACCGGTACAGACGCTAGCATAGTCTGACAGCAACATCTTTGTTTTGCGTTACGAGAGATTACGGAGGAGTAAGCGAGTACGCAGAGGCGATTATACAAGCCCGAAGATCGCCAGTGAAGAGCGAAGACTCGTAGTGAATGCTGACAGGAATTCCGTCAGCTATAAAGCTTGGAACCGAGGACGCCCGCGCGAGCGTAGGCTAGGAGTAAGCGTGGTCGCGATCTATTGTACGTGCGTTTCTGCCGTTCTGATAACCGACGACAACTAATGTAAGTACCTACTCGATTCTTCTCTCTCTCCTATGGCTTGCTAACCGCATTCGTTGCTCTAGTCTTTCGCCCGACCTACGCACCCTGTCATTTTGCTCGGCATTGCGTCTTGCCTTGAGCCGCTTTAAGCGAATTCGTCGTCCGATCTTGCTCGGACGTACTCGCATGCGCGCTTGCATGTACTCGCGAGTACCTAAATACCCGATTCATTTCTACTAAAATCCGCAGTGTCTTATTCCGATACACCTGCCTTATTGCATAACTACTTCGCAGCGAGACTCTTTAGGTTGTCTCTCGCCAAGTGACCTGTAGCTCACGATACTCTCCGCGGGCCGAATTTCTACGTAAGGAAGGAGGCAAGCTGATGCAGCTGGACCCAAGCACTGTTATTGCTGGCGTACAGGGTCGCCTTGGATAGCACACTTCGCTTTATTAAAATATTAATCCGCGAGAATTATTTATTTATATAGCTGATTTAGCCCGAAAAGAGCTCGAGCTAAAACCCCGTTATAACATATGCAATATATTTTTATACTAGAATTATACAAATCATGTTAGCATTAATTAAACTATTACGTTCCTCGATAATGAAAGAGTAAGAGTGCAATACACTTTAAGACTGAGATGTTAGGTGTCTATGAGCCGGCTGCTCTTCCCCTTTTCTCTGAAGTTGCTACTTTTTTGAGCAACGAGTAGTTTTAAATTAAGTTAAAATATATAGTATAATATTTGTTTAATAAATTAGCCAATCATAATGAATAGTCCTCACTTTTTAAGATTGCTGTTCTAATAAAAATTATATTTCCCTCGAAAAAGTCTTGATTTATTATGTTATTCAAAAATTAACTTATGGTAAACAATAAATAACACAAAATAAATGAAGTAAGTGTCAACAATTACGATTAATCTTATCAGTAAAATATTAATTTCATAAACAAATATTCTTTTATTAATTTTTTAAAATTTACATTTCTTCAGTATCACTATCAGATTCATCGGCCAGCGCTTGGTTTGCTTTACTTTCTGCTTCATGTTTTATTTCCATTGGAACAGGCTCATGAATTCCATTAGTATGTCGACCTACCCAACTCATCTCAAGTTCGAATTGTTTATCTTTCAGCTCATCATGTATTAAATATATAATTCGTGCTGCTTCTTTCACAAGCTCATTGTGATCCATCGTTGATAATCTTAATTTTTCAATTTCAGTCTTAGCAGATTGTTTAGCTTTACCTAAAATAATTTATAATTTATTAATAATTATAAGTATACTTTACGATATGTATTGTGAAAAATTGATTCGTCTGGAAAACACGCGCGCGCGTCATTTTATGTTATGAAATATTTGTAATCTAATATATAAAAAAATAACAAATGCCCTTCAATAAATAATATATGTTATCATTCAAAATAAGATGACTAAATTAAGCTTACGTAACTTCATTGTTATGATTGTTTGTTAAACTTACAAATTTTGGAGAGATAAATCGATATGGAATAAGTTATTATGATTTAATTATTGTATAAAACAATTATCGAATAACATTGTTATCTTTCATATGAGATGCAACACGATCGCTTACAGTTTGATATTTCCGAGATGCACATGTTAATTTCTCGTATAAAAAGTACCAAATACTATTTTCGAAAGAAAGTAAGTCTAAATATTCAGACCAAATTTTTATTTTTTTTATCTTTGATCACAAAATGCAAGCTAATTAACAGTTGAAGATTAACTGTCAAGTAATAGGGGTATCGGTACAATTGTGAGCATAAGTTTTTGGCCAGCCTATACTGAAATTATCAAAAATTCAAAGTTTTATAGCTCGCTCGGAAATAGTCGTAGGTGAACCTGCGGGGGCTTATTTGAAAGGATAAAGCAAAACTTTTCGTATTTCACTGGTTTCTTTTAAATGATTAAAAATAGCATTTTTGACACTAAAAAAATTGGATCACATTTTTTCATTTTTTTTTTAAACCGCAAAAAATACTTTTTAACTTTTGAAAGAATATGCAGATTTAAAAAAAATAAAATGGATTGGATATGTATTCGCCTTCTCTTTAAGATAAATGTAAAAAAATTTCTTTTTATTGAGTCAATCTAAAGTTACACTGATTTCATTTTTTAAATCACTATTTTTCAAGTTCGATATCTACGAATGTGCACACCATAGAAAAAAAACTCCTTAGACAAAAAATGTTTTTTTTTGTCTTTTCAATATAAATGAGTATCTACTCTTCAAATTCCATTTTCAGAAAAAAATTTATTTTTTTCAATTCATTAAAAATGAAAAACTTTCGTTATTAATTAAAAATTCAGTCATGATTGTAGGTGAGAATAAGGAGCTGACGTTACTGACGTGACGGCGATCTGAAACAAATTTCAGTGGTTGAGTCTTTATCCCTTACCATTCTCCGACGACCAAAATTTTATACCAGTGCTTAACAATATCGTAGGAAAAGTAACCAATGGCAATTAGCGTGGATCAACTCAAAAGAGAAAGTTCTTGATATGTTTATCCAATTGAGGATCTAGACTCAAGAAAACCATATATAGTCTCGCTATAACTTTATCATGGCCTTGCCAAAAATATTAATGAAAAAAGTAAAAAAAATATGATTATGACCCGTATTTAGTGTTGTTATGCCTTAACTATTAAATTAATAACAATCGAAACGAACCAAAAGGAATCTAGCAAGTAAGGCTTATTTTATGGAGATGTTAGTAGCAACATTTGGTTAATTAATTTAGAGAATATATAGATTGTTTGTATCTCAGAAGAAAATGATGTCTTATGCTCCGGCTTATTTTTTTTAAAATGCCTGTAGTATAGTAGATATTTGTTTGGATCATTGTTATTGGCATCAGTTTTGGCTACATTTCGGTAACAATGATTACACAAGCCGACAAGGAAAAAAACCCAGAAACCAGACAGTACGTTCCCAAAGGTTTTTGGTGCGCTGAAACCGAATATGACCTCAGAATTGCTCCATCACCCTAGGATTTCGAGAAATCCTAACCTAAAAGTTCAAAAAACACGATTTTTCACTATATTTCGCGTAGTATTACGTCGTAAGCCAATTTTATTTTAAAAAACGAGTAAAGCTATTTCCAAGTACTACTCTTACCCTTCAAAACCCTTTTTTCGGATTTCAAAAATCTTTTTTTTCCATCGAGATATCGTAGATTGAATTTGAGTGATTTAGCGATTTCGTTACAGCACGAAATAGTGGCGAATTTCCGAATAAGGAGTTATAGTGTAATTATATGTTTTTTGGGTCACTGAATCCAAATGTAACGTCAGAATGACTCTATAATCTCAATTCCCTTAACCCTAGAGCCCCATAACCTGCGACGCTGTAACCCCTGACCGACATACCCCAATTTCCTTAACCCTCGAGCCCTTTAACCTGCTGCGGTATAACCCCCGACCATCACACCCCAATTTCCTTAACCCTCGAGCCCTTTAACCTGATGCGGTATAACCCCCGACCCTCATACCCCAATTTCCTCAATCCTCGAGCCTTTAACCTGCGAAGCTATAACCCCCGACCCTCACACCCCAATTTCCTCAACCCTCGACCCCAATTACCGCGACGCTATAACCCCTAACCCTCATACCGAAATTCGCTACGCAGAATACCTCAAGCCTCCAAATTATATTCAACCCCCGAGCCCTGCAAGTCTGCAACCTCAGACTCCTTTGCCAGAATTTCCTCAATCAGCACTTCAAGCTGCTATCGTATAACCGTATGTCTTTACATTTCAATCCCTTCAATATCCAAGCCTTGTATTCTACGCAGCTTTCAATTACGCATTTTAAATCTCATTTATTCAGTTTGTGAGTGTTGCATCTGAATATCTGCAACCCTACAGTTTTTCACTTCTTTTTTTTATGAAAATGCTGTCGTTTATCTTGAAATGAACGTTTAAGAGATTTGCGTCTATGATGATCTGTCAATGTATCGTGTCGGTGTAGAGCCCAGCAATAGTCAGCCATCATGCTCTCAATCCATCTACCTTGATAATGTTCCTCTTTGTTTCTGAAATCTTGATGAAATCTATCACCTATTTCTTCACTGAACGCCCCAACATTGTCCGGAAAGTATTCCAAATGTGAAAACAAAAAGTGTATTTTCAGGCTCATCAAACACCCTAATTTTTGAAAATTCGGTAGCATTGTCGACACAATAGTTTTGTATTTAGGGTCCTGGTAGTTTCCGAGTAAATTCTCGGTGACACTTTTGAAACTTATCCAAGCATTTCTCTCATTAGTCGTCATTGTAAAGAGGAATTCATCATCTTTCATAAGTGCTCGAATGTCCGGCCCTACAAATATGCCTTCCTTAATTTTCGCTTCAGACAATTTAGGAAATTTGTCCTGAAGATACTTGTAACATTCGCCTTCCTTATCTAGTGCCTTGATGAATTGCTTCATCATGCCCAGTTTTATATGGAGTGGAGGTAACAAGATATGTTTAGTATCAACAAGGTTCTCATGGACGACTTGTGTGATCCAACAACCATTCCGATTCTTTTCGTCCATTCTTTCCGAACCCAATGTTCTTCTCGGGCACGACTGACCCAGAGACACAAAAAACAGGGGTGCTTCGTATTTCCAGATTGCAAGCCAACTAAAATATTGATCATCTTGAAATCGCCACAAACGAGCCATTTGTGTTCATTGTAATTGATTTTCTCAAGAAGGAATCGAAAGTTATCGTGAGACTCTTTCATCACAGTGGAATGAGCAATGGGAATAGCTGCATACTCATTCCCACTGTGCAGAAGTACTGCCTTGAGACTTTGTACAGATGCATCCATGAAGAGTCGCCAGTTCTCTGGATTATAACCTCCTTGCACTCCATATAAACTCATGAGATGCTTTATATCGTTGCAGTAAACAAGGTTATCCACGCAAGTAAAATATGGCCGAAATTTAGTATCTCTCTTCCTGTAAATAGAAACTTTTGTTTCAGGTAATAAAAGATTTCTTTCTTTTAGTCTTGACGCTAAGAGTTCTGAAGAATCTTTCGGAAGATTCAAATCACGGATCAGATCATCCAAAGAATTTTGGTCGAAAAGTTTGGGCTTTTCTGAGTCAGAAAAATCTTCTTCATCACTACTGCTGCTTTTGTCTGTTAGCGGAACTTCTATTGGTTGAAGTTTTTTTGGCTCAGAATCAGAATTTTTTTTTCTTTCTATTTTTCCATACTGAGCTGCTGTTACACTAAAAACGTTCGGATAAAGGAGAGAAGCTTTGTTATTATGATTAAAACCTAAAGTATCACATTTACAAAAGTAACAGTTATCATGGTGATTTTTAGGTTCACGCCATATTGTTGGTTGGAGAACAACTTCGGTTTTAGTTTTATTCCAGTTTTTCAAACTTTGGCGACAGTCTTCACAAATATATTTAGGAACCCATGGTTTGTCTAAATTCTTCATAGGTGTCTCGTAACATTCTTCAAACTGATCTTTAATGATATCAGTGATTGATCGACGAAGTCGAGCTATCTCAAATTTACCGCAGATATTACAAAAGGAATCGATTTTTCCTTTGCATGGAATTCTACATGCCGACATCTTCAATAACTTATAAGTTAATTGGAAATCACGCGTAATATTATAAACTTATTCTAATAACGAAATGGGTAAATATAATTAAATTTCTAGAAGACAAAGTAATAATAAAGATCAGTAAAAGTACTGCACGCAGTGTTATGTGAGAAATAATAGAAAGTATTTAATTCCAGTGACTTCTCCGTTAGCCTGCCGCTCAAACACGATCTCTAACAGGGATGAAGAGTAGAACACAAAAACTTGAAGTTTTCGAGCAGTGTTAAAACACGAATAATATTATAAACTTATTCTAATAACGAAATGGGTAAATATAATTAAATTTCTAGAAGACAAAGTAATAATAAAGATCAGTAAAAGTACTGCACGCAGTGTTATGTGAGAAATAATAGAAAGTATTTAATTCCAGTGACTTCTCCGTTAGCCTGCCGCTCAAACACGATCTCTAACAGGGATGAAGAGTAGAACACAAAAACTTGGAGTTTTCGAGCAGTGTTAAAACACGAATAATATTATAAACTTATTCTAATAACGAAATGGGTAAATATAATTAAATTTCTAGAAGACAAAGTAATAATAAAGATCAGTAAAAGTACTGCACGCAGTGTTATGTGAGAAATAATAGAAAGTATTTAATTCCAGTGACTTCTCC